TTCAAGAAGCTCTAGATGCCCAAAAGGAGGAATATCTGCGACACGAAGACGCATTCCGACGCCGAGAGGAAGCCCTTCGCAAAAAAGACGTAGAGCTGCAAGACTCGCTTATCAAGTTTAACAAGTTTCTGCAGGAAAATGAGTCAAAACGAAAACGTGCTGTAACAAGGGCAGCAGATGAACGCAAACAGATCGAACAGAAGGAACTTGACATAGAACGTCTAAGCAAGCAAAGACAAATGAAGATCGCTGATGTCTTTCCGCGCAGTGTCTTCGGCATGCATTCATTTGATAGCTTGCGCTGCAGGCTAATAGCTTAGAACGCGACTTGCAGCGCAACAAGGTTTGCCAAGAGTTTCTTACCGAAGTCTGCGTACACCTCACCGAAGACTATCATGAGATTCAGGACCTTTTGAACCGTCATAAGACGCTTAGAGGAGCTAATGACGATCTCTCAAAGCGACAAAAAGACTATGAAGATTTATCAGAAAAAAAAAAGGATGATTTCATTAAGTACATGAAAGAACGAGCGAATGAAATTCTGAATGCAAACAACGAAATTGCGTTTTTACAGGATAAACTCGAAGCGACGGAGTCGACAACATATCGTCTCCAAAATGAAGTTGATTCGACGATAAGAGGCATGTCTGACAAGACTCTTGAGCTCTGTCAGATCCTAAGCGCAGTCGACAATCTCCTCGAGCGTTTTGTTAGACACATGCACTCACACAAACAGAAACGTGATGTTCCGTCCGAGAAAAAAGCTGCTGGTAAACCAGTGGCAAAATCCCCCGAGGATTTGGAGTGCGGAGTGCTGCGTCTATTCCTGTTACAGCCATGCTTTCACTACATATTTCCATAGACTCGAGGGGAAACGCGCCATGGACCGACTCGACGAGATTTGTGCGTACATGACTGACTACAACGATATTTGTGCTGAATATGACAAATGGAGCTCCAAGTTGGTGAATCGTCCGGAAACCTCCTGAACGACTTTGGAAGTGGACCACTGCCGGAACAAGCTTATGTCTACCTGTTCCAAAGACAACGAGGTCGTTTGAACTTTTGTCGTCGCAGAGGGATGCTGCATTCTGGCCAGACCTGACGCCGCGCTCGGTCTGGTGCAACCCAGTCCCTTCGGACCAGCGCTGGCAGCGCCTCTAACGGTGTTTGTAGCAGTCCCAGAGGGTTGCAGCAGCCTACAATCGCACTAGGGGTGTCAATGAAGCCCGGCGCCCTCCGGGCTCCTGTCCGCCCCCGCTGGCGCCTGGTTTTCGGTAGTTTTGCTACAGCGCCTTCCCGGCTGTAGGGGGACGCGTAAACTAGGGGAGCGGCGTGGCGCCCGACGGCGAATGGCAATTCCCGCCGCGGCTACACACCCTCCCCGGCGCGCGTCGAAACGTGAGATCTCCGCAACCAAAGCACCGCAGAGGTCGCCCAGGGGTAGGGCGCCTCGCCGCCACCGCCTAGGTCCGGAGCAACGCACGCAGAGCGCCGACGGGCGCGACGACCTTCTTCTGTGACTTCCTCGACGTCGGCTCTCTCGAGAGAGTCTTATTGTCCGGCCAATGGGAACCCAGCTTTGCTTACTGCGGCGCCTCCCAGGCGCGCCCAAACGCGGTCCCAGCCCCAGGATTTAGGACAGGATCCCCGTCAGTTACCGCCGCCGAGTAGGGACCCAAAGTTGCGCTCCGACCGGGGTCGCGGAAGTCGGAATTATTTCCCGTCACCACGCCCGTGGCGCCTCGCAGACGGACCTTAGCGAGCCAGAGGGCTGAGCTCGGAGCATACTTGAGAGACCTGCGGGCACCTTTTTATGTGACATGAGCTCCATCGTCATGGGCTTATGATTCGCGGTCACTTGGACAGCAATGGCAGGTGGCTGCTGATATGCGCATTATCAGGCCACCACCTAAAGCCAGTTGAATCTGGGGGCTGGCAACACTCTTGCCGAAAGGCCGAATAATAGGCCGAATTCGAGAGTAGGACGGGCGCTTTGATATTTGCCAAAGGTGATGCACAGTTCACCAAGATGGGTGGGTGATTATGCATTTGGTGAGTAATCTTCAATTTTTTCGAGTAGTCGCTTCGAGTAGTTGGGTGAATAATACTCAACAATTTCTGGTGGATAGCAACTGTTAATTTGCTGGATGAATTCAGTCAATTTTCCTCCGACAGTCTCGTTCAGTTCTGCCACAAAAGAGTGAGATTCCGCGCACGAAGCAAGGTACTCACCTTGAAGGAACTGTAACCCGCCATTCTGCACAAAAGCCCGACGGGCTTCCACATCGTGAGGTAGTATTGATGCAAACTGTTTAAGAACATACTTCTGCACCTTGACAGGAGCTTCACGCAATAGAGGCTGCAGAGCCTGAAGGTGGGTGCACTTTGCCAGTATCGCTTTGAGAGCTCGCTTCGACTTTGTTTTGAGATCCTCTGAGCTGTCCTGGTGCACCATACATGCGAGCAAGTGGCGCAAGACGTCTCCCTCTGCGAGCGCCCGGGCATGATCAGAGGTGTGACGGCCAATCTGGCCTAGACTCCATGCTGAAGCTGCCTTGATATGATCCTCCGGCTCAGTGACAAGCGCTTCTTTTAGAGGGGCCACACCTTTCGATACGATGATGGCAAGAGCAAGCGTCTCTGAAAAAGCGGCGATGTAGCCAACTGCCATGATTCCAGGAAGTTTTGCATTACCCTGGGCTTCAGAAACGTAGTCCACCAAAGCTGCAGCACCACCAGAATTGACAATCAGCTTTGCTAGTTCCGGTGTGTGCTTGGCGACTTCTCTGATACAAGTCGCCGCATTCTTCCTGACAAACGCATCTGTGTCTTTCAAGCAGTTCAGTACGTTTGGGAAAATTTCGGCCTCGACAACTACCTCTGCTAGGTCGACAGAATGTTTTGCGATTTGTGCAAGGCAACTACACACCTGTCTTTTAAGCTTAGCGTCCGGATGCACAATAAGTGGGGCGAGGTACGCCACAGCACCAGCATCCACAACTGCCTGTGCTAACTCTGGTGAGTGCTTACAAATATCTGACATGGCGGAGGCAGATATCCGTTTGAGCGTGATCTCTGGTTCCTGAATGCAAAGCACCAAGAGAGCCACTGTGCCAGCATCTACCACTGCTTGAGCTAGTTCTGCAGTGTGCTGCGCAATATATCCAATTGCCCAGGCGGCCGCTTCTTTCACAGTTGGATCAAATTCTTCCAGGCACGGTACCAAGGCATCCAAGGCCCCCGAATCTACCACTGCCTGGGCAAGATCTGGCGAGTGCTTTGCCACTGCTCGTAGCACAAAAGATGCTGCCTTTTTCACAAAACGCTGCACACAGCGTTTGTCAATCAAGTAAAAGTTTTACGGCTTACATTTTGTTCCGAGAGGGAATAGACGAGTTGAGGAAGTATTTCATTGCCGACGACCGCCTCGGCCAAGTCTTCGCTGTAGTTCGCTAGCCGACCAAGTGCCAGAGCGGCAGACTGTTGAATGCTTGGAACCTGCATTGTGGCCTTTCAATCCGGTTGTATGATTTGATCTGAGCGCACATTGTCAAGTAGCAACGGCCGCAACAGCTGCATGACACCTGCATTTTGCATGACTTCGATATTTTGCGGGCGCGTCGCTGCCTCAGCTACAGCTTGTACGAAGGCGACCTAAGTGAAGCACATCTTGCAAATTAGTTTCACTGCGTTGGATCACCCGGGACTTTTGATATACTTCAAAATGTTGCAGAACTGAAACGCCACTCATGTCTCTCGTCGGCTGAAACCGCTGCAGCGGCCCAGTCGCGCTACGTTTAAGGATACATGCGCAACTAATGTATCCGGATGAGGATGACATTTGAGGTGAGGCCTAGGGGCAAGTGGCGATTAGAGAGATAGGGGGGTTTGTACCTTTCTAGTGGCTCGCTGGTACAGAGCCACCCAAGATTCTTCCCCTCTCCTCAATACTTTCTACCCCTGCTATAGTTGCGTCCCGCACTGTAATAGACGGGGAGTTTTCCTGGACCTAGTCACTGGCACGGTGAGGCAGATCCAAGTGCAAATAGTGCAGATCCTCTGCCCGTTCGTCCAGTAGCTGGCACAATGCCCCCTGTCTCGGAGTTTACTATCTCGCTATGGCTTACTCAAACACCCAGTCGCCATGCGTATTTGGCCATATCACCCTAACTAAGCCTTTGGCGAATCCTCAGGCTGACAATTAACATGGGCCAATTCAGCTATCCTGACGCTCGTAGTACAAAACGCACGCCTTATTTGTGACGACGTCCTTGTGTTCGCAGTGTTGTATAAGTGTGTCGTTCGCCAGGCGCCATTCATCGTCACATAATCTGACCTTGGCTGTGAAGTGGCCCTGGCCGACATAATAGTTCCGCCCGGTTCCTCCGTGCTCTGTGATCGCTTTGAGGTCGTAGAGGAAAGCGCCCTCTTTGGGACCAGAAATGCGCTTGCTGAGATCAAATTTGTACCTTGGGAAAGTTACTTTTGTCTCGACCTTGACTCCAACAGATTTGTTTCGAGATAAGTGAACGATGAGGATCTTGGGAAGAGACCAGATGGCCGTGCGCACGCATGGCAGGGCTGTCTTGCATTCGCGGCAGAAGCGGGAGACCTCACCAATAGTCTCGTGGGGCGGTCCAAATTTTTCGTCTAGAAGGTCATCGAGACTAGTGTCGCGCCCGAACTTCTTCATCGGGCTGTGCGCGCAGCTTAGTTTGTGGTGTGGCCAATGCCTGCGCTGACATTCGCCAGAGCAGTAACCAACGCTACGACAGCGAGTACACAGACCAAGTCCGTTCTTCCTGGTTGCACCACAGAACCTACCAGACTGTTCAAAACGAATTTAGCCGCGTGTCGCGCTGGCATTCACGCGCATCCTCCGTACTTGACTTTTGATTCCTGCTCGAGGGGTAGCTCCACCGAAAGGTGTAGAATGATGGGAAACCAGTTGTGGCTTGTACCACAGTCGGCACATTTCGCTTGAACGTGCAGCTGGAAAGCCACAGCATCGAGGATCGGCGATTCGTGCCGAGCGGCGCACCTTTCCCACACAAGTTTGGCGCCGGTGCGTTCATCGACGGTCTCAAGGTTCGCTTTGAATCGTGGATGACAGAGCGGGCCGCACAGAGTGAGATGGTGGGCAAGCTGATGGTAGAGAAGCGAAGGTCCACCATCATCGCCATCATTGGCGACGATGGCGAGGTATGGTGCAAATTCTTCGCCGACATCTATCATGTCATTGTCTCCTCCGACACAAGGCACAACACTGGACTTGCGTGCTAAATTACAGTCGTCATGAAGAGCTTTCAAAAGTCGAAGTGCAAAGTCAACACTGTCATCCCTCATGTTCCCATCGTACCTTGCGTACCTCTTTGCCAGAAGTGCCTACAAGACAAGCAAGCTGACCTTCCATACTGACATCGGCACAAATGCCTTATGAGCTTAGAAACCCAGTAGCGCGCTTTGAGGCAAGTTGGCGCGAGTGAAACGTATGCCCCATCCAGAGCCTTGCAAAGATGCTCGTGAAAGGCTGCAACTAGATTCCCGGAAGATAACGTGACTGCATCGTCTATCACTTGATTAACAGCTCGCACCGCGGCGAGGCACTGGAGCGCCGCATTCATAAAACACCTAAGGTCCCAAATGAAACGAAACGGACCTCTTGGATGGAGCCTCGAGAATCAAAGCTTCTCTCCGCTATCGCACGTATTACCCTGATTCGACAACCCAACCACGCCTAGATTAGGGCGGCCGAGCCGAGCCTCGCAATGGAATTCTGGCAGGTGAGATCCAAGCTGTGCGACGTACCTGCGAGATCGGTAAGAGAGCAAATGCACTTTTTTGGCGTTTGTCCTTTAATTTTACCGCAAGGCCTTCAATCATGCAGCACGAATACGATCCGAAAATTTTGACATTGTCGACGCCGGATCAAGCGGATCACTCCGGTAGCTCCAGAGACAACCTGCTGTCGTTTCGAGATAGAGCCTGTCACCGTGGACTTTGGCGACGTGGGCCCACCGCCATCGTCCAAATCCATGGTGCTCCACGATGTCGTTGGCTCGCAAGAGCCGTCGCCAGATAGTCTGTCGCACGGTCGATGGACGAATGGTCGTAGAGTTCAATAGTAGTCGGCTAACCCAGCGGGGAGCTGACGCGCCCCCGCTTTGGGTCAGTCGCACTTCGAGACGGCCTGTATCACCATCGGATATGTAAGCATCTCGCCAATCTCCGTCAGCCCACAAATCCGCATAGTCTCCCGGTCGTAGTGATTCAACCCAAGCCAGGTACGATGCGGTTTCCTTACACTCGGGGGCAAAAGTTGGTAGCACGATCCCAGCGTCACGGAGTGCAATTCGCCATGGCTCTGAATCAACACACGACCCATCATTGTCACCGACCGAGTCTCCATGCCAAGCTATCAAAGGTAACGGCGGCGGAAGGCGATGTGCAAGAAGTCCTCTTGGATTACGCTGAGTTTCCTTGTGCGCACTCCAATGCCGCCGTTGACAACTCTCGGAACAGTAGAAAACTTCGTGACAACCTGTGTGAATGAAAGCGGCTAGGTGCTTACGGCAAAATCTGGCTATTTTTCAGCTCCGTCAGAGCGAAGTCGTTTGTTGCTGATCTTCGGCCTTAGCTGGTCGAGTCCTCGAATTCAGAGGGGACTTCCCCGAGTAAGCTTGATTTAATTTCCACGCTGGTGATAACAGGTACACAATGATAATTTCAGAGCAGCTCGTCCACAGAATGCGCAACTTCGCTCCATCATGCTCCCAAGACGCTCGTGCGGATACGTTTGCGGATGAAAATTGCACTTACGGCAGTACAATATGTTTCCGGTAACGAGTTAGTGAGTTTAGACCACCTATCATCATCTAGCTAAATAAAACTGCTGGCTGTGGTGGTCCTCTCCCAGCTCGCCGCTTCCCCGGGGTCCGGGGTGGCGCGGCTTATATTTTTTGGGTCATATGGTTTCTGATGGCACCCAGGGGTTGGGTTTGAGTGATGATTTGCTGAAGCATTTTAAGCTGGAGATAGGTGAGATGGCCTTGGGTATTTTGGATGGCGGGCCCTTCGACTCGCCCATCCACGGGGGCATACTCCTGACTTGTATGATTGAAATGCTACCATATGTTGATTCTGATAAACCAG